ATCATCTTCCTCCCTTCTCACAGAGCCCTCCATGTTCCTTCAGCACCCCGTCATTTCTGCCCCAGGAGGTCACCCGTCCCTCTCGGGCTTCCTTATCACCCCCCTTCGTCCAACCCTGAGTCATCAAAATCAAACCTCTAGCCCACCATGTGGACACCCTAACCGCTTTGCCAGCGTGAGGATGACCAAGGTACACATGGTACACACAGACACAAATTGCTGGTGGCCTGGTGACCGCGTCTGTTTATCCTCACCAGTGTCTGTTGGGTGTTTTGGCTCCACCCTGCATGACCCCCTGGCCCAGACCCCGCTGGCCATGTACGGCTTCTTTACTCGGCAGTCCTCGACTGTGCGAGTATACACCAGCGTAAAGTCTGTTATGATATGTTAAACAAAAATGTGAGCTTGCACCGCTGAAGGTGTTTTCTTCTTTGTCTTTAAAAAGGAATTTGTTGGGTCATTGCTAATAAGAAAAAGCAGGTTGTGGGCATGGAGTCTAAACCACCAGCAGCAGTGCCAGGTGGGAAAGCCAACATGTCCACAGCCTTGGAGATGATGATTTTTTGTTGTTGTTGTTGTTGCTGTTGTTAATCCTCACCCGAGGATATTTTTCCATTGATTCTTAGAGAGAGTGGAAGAGAGAGGGAGAGACAGAGGGAAATACATTGATTGGGTGCCTCCTGCACTCATCCTGACCAGGGCCTGGGCCGGGGAGGTGCCCTTGATCAGATTCGAACACAGGACCCGTTGGTCCGCAGGTCGACGCTCTATCCACTGAGCCAAACTGGCCAGGGCTGATGATTTTTTTTTTAAAACATCAGGTGGTGCCCGGCTGGAATGGCTCAGTGGTTGGTTGAGTGTAGACCTATGAACCAGATCATCACAGTTTGATTCCCAGTCAGGGCACATGCCTGGTTAGTGGGCTTCATCTCTAGTGTGGGAACCCCAGGGGGCAGCCGATCTATGGTTCTCTCTCATCATTGATGTTTCTACCTATCTCTCCCTCTTTGTTCCTCTCTGAAATCAGTAAAAAAACAACAACAACAAACCGTCCATCAGGTAGGCCCAGCTGCTGTGTCTCTGTGGTTGCGCACTGACCTGTGAACAAGGTTCCGGTTCGATCCCCAGTGTGGGGCGTGCAGGCGGCAGCCAATCGGTGATTCTCATCACTGGTGTTTCTCTCTCTCTCTCTCCCTCTCTGAAATCAATAAAAATATATTGAAAAATTAATAAAGAAAATTGTATTAAAAAGTAAAACATCAGCCCTAACCAGTTTTGCTCAGTGGTTAGAGCATCGGCCTTCGGACTGAAAGGTCCCGGGTTCGATTCCCGTCAAGGGCATGTACCTTGGTTGCGGGCACATCCCCAGTAGGGAGTGTGCAGGAGGCAGCTGATCTATATATGTTTCTCTCTCATCGATGTTTCTAACTCTCTCTCCCTTCCTCTCTGTAAAAAAAATCAATAAAATATACTTTAAAAAATAAATAAAACATCAGGTAGGCGGGAGAAAGATATAAATTTTTTGAAAGAATTGACATTGGTTGCAGATAAGATCGGTGGAATAAGGTGACGGTGGGCAACAGTTGGAAAAGTCTATGTGTGAGCAAGAACGGGGGTCCTGGGTGCAGGGTGCCTGGCAGAAACAGTCGCCTGCAGCTTAATCAAAGCTCCAACGCCAGAGGGCACTCAGGAGCATGAGGTTCTTGTTGCTTTGCCCTGCAGTTGTTAACTGACCAACCCCTTCCTGTCTCTGCCTTCCACCCTGTTGTAATTTTATTTAGGACACCTCAGAATGCTCTCCTTATCAAGTGAGGTCAAGCTTGGACCTCAGAGGGAGGGTGGGGATAAAAGAGAGAGATCAACCAAAGGACTCGTGTGCACACATATGAGCCTAGCCAGTGGTCAAGGACAATAGGGGAGTGGGGGCAGGAGTGGGGAGGGGTGAGGGATTGGAATGGGGGGTTGAGGACAAATATGTGATACCTTAATCAATAAAGAAATTTTAAAAAGTGGGAGGTGGCTGTGGCGTGTGTGTGTGTGTGTGTGTGTGTGTGTGTAGGGGAGGAAGGGAAGAGAAGGCCTCCGCCCACCTGCCTGTCTTTCCATCTAGTGGCGTTTTCCTGTAGTTCCCTGACCCCAGGGAGGTTGCTTAAAGCAAAAGGTTCTGTTTGTGTTAGGGAAGGAAGGGGTGGGAAGAAGAAAAACAAGCACATTCCATGACGGGGCCCAAGGAAACCTATAGGAATGCAGGAACGCGTTCACCTTTTCACCTGTTCCTGGGCGCCTGGTGAGCATCAGGTGTCACACCTCCAACCAGACAAACCAGCCCCGGGAGCCGGCAGCTCGCACCCCGGACCCGAGGCGCAAGCTGTGCGGCAGCTCAGGGCCGGGCGGCTCCTCACAGGCTGCGGGCGTGCTCTCTGCAGATGTCTGCAGCTCCTACTGTAATGTCTCAATTGGATTTTCGCTTAAGTAATCTGTTTGCTTGGTTCAAAAATCAAAAAGTGTGAAAGGAAAAATTTCCCCTCTCCTTTCGGCATTTCCTCTCACCCTCCCACCACTCATCACATAGTTGTGTTTTTTAAAAATGTATTTTCCTGATTTATGCATGAGTCAGCACGTAGGGATGTAAATTCTCATGTCCCCACTTCCTCCACCCACGGTGGTACCTGAGACCAGCGCCTGGCTTTTTCCCCTCGGCCGACGTATCCCGGAGGCTTTTCCTGTCCGTTCTTAGATGTCTTCCTTGTTCTTTTTTAAGTGTTACAGCCGGTCCCATTGGCTGGCACGCAGGCTTTCTCCAGTGCTGTGTTACTGTGAACAGCACTGCAGTTACATCCCAGTGTGCATGCGTCACCGCCCGTGTATGCACGTATGTCTGAGGACACATTGCTCCATCAGAAATTGCTGGGCCAACCTGGGAATTCTGATAGATGATGTCAAACTCCCCACCCGGGGGTCTGGCCAGTCTGCATGCCCACGGCCTCAGCTCCTCGGCCTCGTCAGCGGAGTGGGCTGTGAGGCCAAGGTCAGGCTTTGCCGAGCGAAGAGGTGAGAAGGGTTTGCCGGGAGAATTTTGACTGGTGCCTCCTTCACGACTGCGGCCAAATACGTGTTTTCAGAGTGTCTTTCCCACCCAAAGTGAAGGACCTTAAAAGCCCAAGCTCGGAGCGTCCCACCTGCGTTTGCGATGCCTCTGGAATCTCTGAGAAAATAGATGCCTTTATTTCAAAAATAGCTTTTGACATTCTTTGAAAATAAGAGAGGTGCCACGGCTGGACACTGGAAACACGACAGGCGTTTTGAAATTAATCTTTGGCAAACCACAGAATCTAAAATGAGGTCCCCAGGAATTCACAACACTGCTGAGAGCAGCCTGGCCGGTTCAGATTCATTAGTCTCTCTTTTTTTTTTTTTAATTTGACTTTCGTATTCCTGTGATAAATATTTCCCCCATGGCCGAAACCGGTTTGGCTCAGTGGATAGAGCGTCAGCCTGCGGACTGAAGGGTCCCAGGTTCGATTCCGGTCAGGGGCATGTGCCTTGGTTGCGGGCACATCCCCAGTGTGGGGGGGTGATGGTGGTGTAGGGGGCAGCTGATCGATGTTTCTAACTCTCTGTCTCTCTCCCTTCCTCTCTGTAAGAAATCAATAAAATATATTTTTAAAGGAATATTTCTGCCATGAATCCAACTGTATCCCCCAATAGCACCCGCCGGTGTGCTCTCCTCTGGCCTGGAAAAGAGCCCAGGCGTGCTTTAAGCCAGCCCTCCCTGTGACCGAATGTTCCCTATCGCCTGATGGGCCCCAGGGAACCAGCACCTCGGGAGCCAGGGAGCCATGCTATTTCTAAGAGGCGGCGTGCTGTTTCCGGGCCCACCGGCAGCAGGCTGCCCCGAGAGGTATAGGTTGTGGAGGGCTCAGCGGTTGGCGCGCCCTGACTGCAAACAGCCGCCAGTCCGAGGAAGCAGCTGGAGGTTGTTTTTGGTTTAACCCTAAGGTGAAGCTAAGAGAAGGCCCCGTGACGTAGGGGCCTTGGTAAACAGAGAAGAGTTGTTCCTGCAGGGCTGGGGCCCCGTGGTCCTCACCAGGGATCCCCCATGCAGCCCGGGTGTGGTCCCCGGGCCTCGCCCAGCGGCTCACAGCACCTGGGTTTCGGGATTCCTCGAGCCGATAGTGTCCCTGACAAGCGACGTCTGCTTTCCTCCCCTCCCTTTCCCTCCCCACCCAGCCCAGCCTGGGGTTCCACCTCGCAAACTGGCCGGACTGGTGTGGCCTCTAATGAGTGGTTGGCTCCTGGGGAGGAGGCCTTGGGCTGGGAGAGGTGGGAGCCCCAGGGGTTAATTTGCCCGCATAGTTCACCGCTGACTCAGGTCTCGGCCATTAGGCTTCTGTACTCCCCATCTGTCTTCCTGTCCGTCCCGGACAGCCCCAGACTCAAAATGCGGGCCCTTCCCTGGGCCCGGGGGCCAGGGGAGCGCTCAGCCGTGTGTGTGCGGGCGGTTCTGCTGGCCTCGGCCACTGTCAGCAACTCCTGTTTCCCAGTGTGGGCCCTGCTCCCAGGACGGCCGGGGTCTGTTCCTCCCCTGGACCCTGGGCCCAGCCGCTGAGATCAGCGATGGAGGGCGGGAAGGTGCACAGCGGTCCGGCTGTGAGGGTCCCGGGTGGGCGCTGAGATTCTGGGGAGCACGTGTGCTTTGGGGCCCGTCTGTTTGCGAGAACAAACCCGAGGATCCTGGGTGGAGTTCTGACCTGGCGGGGTCCTGCCATCGGGCCCCCCCAGCGCAATTCCTTGTCCCCCGAGGGAGCCCACCTCTCCCAGGCAGGTCACCCGGCAGCTGAGACCTGCACCTCAGGCTGGGCCCCCGCCGGAGGGCAGCACCCATCCCCGCCTGGCCCAGGCCCAGACTCAGGCTCAGGCCCAGGCCCAGGCCCAGGCCCAGGCTCAGACTCAGGCCCAGGCCCAGGCTCAGGCCCAGGCCCAGGCTCAGACTCAGGCCCAGGCTCAGGCCCTGGCTCAGGCCCAGGCCCAGGCCCAGGCCCAGGCCCAGGCTCAGACTCAGGCCCAGCCCAGAGGAGGAAGCATCTGCAGAGGCCGCTAGGGCTGTTTCTGAGCGAGGCTCCCATTGCCCCTCTGACCCCGGCCCCGAACCTGCAGTTTCCAATTCCGTCCGGACTCGGAGGTCCCCAGCCCGGCTCCCCTGACATGCCGCACCCCGCTGGGGCAAGGAGCAGGAGGCGAGGCGATGCCACCACACTCCCAGCGAGCACCATCCTCGTGCCCTCTCTCCGCTCCGGGTCTCCCCGCTGCCCTGGGGCCTCTGCCCCTCCCAGGCCGTGGCCAGCCGGTGGGCCGGGGAGGACGGACGGACGGACGGACGGGTGGCTTCCGGAGCAGGGTCTGGCCGGGCGGCCCTGCAGGTGGCCCCGCTCGCTCACGCCTGCTTCCTCACCAGCAGCACCCAGGGCAGGATGGCGGCCACCACGGCCACCGCGGCGATGAGGGTGATGAGCAGGAGGGCCCGGGAGCGGCAGCAGAAGGAGCGGGAGGAGCGGGGCGCGGCCGGCGCCTCGGAGAGCTCGGCCAGGCTGCGCCGGGGCAGCACGCTGTCCTGCTCGCCCAGAGGCATCCCGTGGCGGCTGATGATGAAGATCTGCGGCTCCCGGGGCAGGCCGGCCAGCAGGTCCAAGGGCAGCTGGGGGCTGGGGCCGGGGGGCGCCCTCCAGGCGGGCGGGGAGGCGGCCCGGGGCCCGGGGTGGGCCCGGGCGAGGGCGGGCGGCGGCCCCGGGGGCAGGCCGGCGGGCACGGCCAGGGTCTGGGCGCTCCGGTCCAGCATGGAGGGCCAGCGGGAGCTCTTCTTGCTGAGGAAGGTGACGTAGCGGCAGATGGGGCACACGAGGGTGCGCTGCACCTGCCCGTCCACGCGGGTGGAGAGCAGGTACTTGACCAGGCAGTCATGGCAGAACACGTGGCCGCAGCTCAGCGTGCGGCTGGCGCCCTCCAGGTCCCGGAACTTCTCGTAGCACACGGGGCACTCGCTGCCCGAGCTGTCCTTGCTCTCCCCCTCGGACATGGCCACTCCCCCGGGGGCGGGGCCTTCGCTGCGGGCGGGGAAAGCCGTGAGCTCGGTGCCGCTGCCGCCTCCACCGCCTCCCTCACTGCCTTCTGCAGCCCTGCTTCCCCTGCCCCTGCCCTCCCTCTTCCCCTGCCCCTTCCCTTCTCCCCAACCCTCCCTTCTGCTGCTCCTCCTCCGAGGCCCACCTGAATCCCACCCAGACCTGGAGCTAAGACCCCTGGGCAGAGGCTGGGAGGCAGATAATGAGAGGTCCCCGCAGAGGCCTGTTAGGCTCAGGAGATAGAGCATCGGCCTGCGGACTGAAGGGTCCCGGGTTCGATTCCGGTCAAGGGCATGTACCTTGGTTGCGGGCACATCCCCAGTGGGGGTGGGGGGGGCGGTGCAGGAGGCGACTGATGGATGTTCTCTCATGGATGTTTCTGGCTCTCTATCTCTCTCCCTTCCTCTCTTTAAAAAATCAATAAGATATTAAAAAAAAAAGAGAGAGAGAGAGAGAGAGGTCTCAGCCCAGGCTCTGTGGCTGGGTGGCTGCTCCCCTAGGTCAGTCCAGGCCCCGGTGTGGGCCTGTGCCCCAGGGGCTGTTTTCCAGAACAGCCTCTGCTGCCCTCAGCCTCCCGCTCAGCGCCGCCTGGCCCGCTGGTTTGCGTCCAGCCCTGGCTGCAGGCCTCTGTGCGGCTGTTTGCAGATAAAGCGCAGAACTTACACATGCACACGCCCGCGGGCCTCTGCGTCCTCAGTCAGGGAGCAGCGGGCTCCTCCTCCGCCGGCCGCAGCTCAGCCATTCCTCAGGTTCCCGGAGGGCGGCCTCAGCGAGGGCAGAGGTGCGTCCTGCGCGTGTGTCCGGTCGCGTGCCGGTGGCCAGAGGCCCTGGGAGCCACGCCTGGTGGGAGAGGACATGAGTGCCGAGTGGCATGGAACAGTTTCCGATCACAGGTACAGAGTCACCTCGAAGTCACAATGTGGGTATTAAGATGTTCTCAGGGTGGGCCGGTGCGGCTCAGTGGTTGAGTGTTGATATAAGAACCAGGAGGTCACGGTTCAATTCCCGGTCAGGGCACATGCCCAGGTTGTGGGCTCGAACCCCACTAGGGGGCGTGCAGGAGATCAGTGATTCTATCTCATCACTGATGTTTCTATCTCTCTCTCATTCTCCCTTCCTCTCTGTAATCAATAAAAATACACTTTTAGCCAAGACCGGTTTGGCTCAGTGGATGCAGGGGTCCTCAAACTTTTTAAAGTGGGGGCCAGATCACGGTCCCTCAGAGAGCTGGAGGGCCGGACTATATGAACTACTAATTCCTACTGTAACACCTCGGCTGTGCTCACTGCCCAAAAAACCTGGCGGGCCAGATCAGACTCCTCTGCGGGCCACATGTGGCCCACGGGCCGTAGTTTGAAGACGCCTGCAGAGCATTGCCCTGCGGACTGAAAGGTCCCAGGTTCGATTCTGGTCAAGGGCATGGACTTTGGTTGCGGGCACATCCCCAGTAGAGGGTGTGCAAGAGGCAGCTGATCGATGATTCTCATCGATGTTTCTAACTCTCTATCCCTCTCTCTTCCTCTCTGTAAAAAAATTCAATAAAATATATATTTTTAAAAATACACTTTTAAAAAGGTCCCCAGTATCACCACTAGAACAGCCTCGTTAGGGGAACCGTGACCCCCTGTTACCTGCACCGGCCTGTCCGTTCATCAGTGATGTCAGACCCTGTCCATCCACCCCGTTACTCCACAGATACTCACTGAGTGCCTGCTGCTGGATGGGCGCTGAGCCAGGCACTGAGGATAAGCAGAGACCAAGGAAGTCTTTGGTAAAACTTTAGAGCCTAATGGGCATTTATAAATTTTCTTGGAAAAATATTTTCTCTCTCTCTCTCTCTCTCTCTCTCTCTCTTTTTAAATAAAGGAGGAATGATGCTCAATAGCTTAAGTTGTTTGGGTAACAGAATTAGGTATCAAGATAGGCAACCGAATGAAAGCAGAGAAATGAAAGAAGCTAGGGGAAGAGAGGACTTCTGAGGTTATTTAATTAAATCTAGTTTGTGGGTTTTTTTTGTGTTTGTTTTTTGAAAGAGTGGATGGGAGGAAAAGAGAGGGGGGAAATGGAGGGAGGGGGAGAGAGAGAGAGAAAGACAGACAGACAGACATTGATTGGTTGCTTCCCACAACCGCCCTGCCGGAGACTGAGCCTGCAACCGAGGTCCATGCCCTGATTGGATTCCAGCCCTGGACCCTTCAGCTCTAAGCCCTGAACAAACCGGCCATTCGCCGTGTCCGGAAGCGCTGTCCTCCTTGGGGTCAGCCCCGGCGGGAAGAGAGCCTCCTCCGTGCGGGTTTGTGAAAGAGGAAAAGGGACTCACAGGATGCGAGCGACATCCCGCTCCCTCCGCCGGCCTCCGGCATCCTTCCTCCTTCCTGCGCTGCCGCCGGGAGGCGGGTCCTCAGCCTGGACGCCGCCTCCTGCCGCCTCCTCCCTGCTTTCTCAGCCCCCCTCCGGCCTCTCCCTCCGGGCCCGCCCCTCCCCTTCTCTTATCTCCGCTCCCAACTCCATCCCGCAGCTCCTGCAGGAGCCGGGATGTCTGGGTGCCCGCGGGGAGAGGCCGCGGGAGGGATGCCTCTGGCGCGCGCTCCGGTCCGGGCACGAGCTGGCAGCCGGCAATGCCAGGCGTTCTCCCCGCCGGCTCCCCCGCGGCTCCGGGCGCCGGGGAGGGGAGGCCGCGAGCCTCGGGGCGAGGTGGGCCCACGGCGGAGCTAATAATAAATAATTACAGCAGCGGCTGCTTGTTGACACGGATTACACGCGCTTGGCGTTTTGCATTCCTTCCTCGTTGGATCCTGACGGCCTGGGAGGTGGGCACTGTCTCCATAGACCGACCGGGGACGAGGCTTGGGGCTGAGGTTCTGTAGCTTTTCCAAGCCACATCGCTGGCCCAGGGCAGCCCCAGGGCAGACAGCCTCTGCGGGTCCCGCTGCCCTGGCCTTGGTCCAGGGAGCAGATAAAGGATCAGAGCAGATAGGCGGCCCCAGCCCTCAGCCCTCTGCAGAAACACCGGTTTAACAAGTACCCGGGGGGTGAATGTCCCTCGCAAGAGCCCCCCCAGGCCGCTGGACGCCGGAGACATGGACAGTGTTGTTGTATGTCAGTCAGACCTCACTCAGGGAAATGGTTTTAAAAAAAACGCATAGTTGGAGACGCATCAGTGGGAAGACGACCGCCCAAACGTCCCTTCTCCACGGACTCCAACCAGAGCTGCCACTCGGGCGCCCTGGGAGGCGGGGGAGGACGGGCCGGCCCGGTGGCCGGCTTCCCCCACAGCAGCCACCCACGGCGAGGACTGGTGGGGTGGCACCGGCCCCGGGACCCCCTCCTCCCCACCTGGACGGTGAGCCTGTGAGGCAGAGCCCTATGGTTTCAGCTGTGACCACTTCTCATCCCAAGACACTGTACACACACACACACACACACACAGACACACACACAGACACACTCACTCACTCACTCCCACACCCTGCATCACTCCAGTTCAGTCCGGAACCTTGCCAACCTCCACCTGGATCCTGTGCCCTCCTGCCCCTGGCCGGGCCCCCGTGACCGACCCCCCGCCCAGGCTGGGCCCCCCAGACTCACTGTGGCTGAGGCCAGGAGGAGCAGCAGCCTCCTCTCCGCCCGCCGGGGCCTCTTTGGGGCAGATCCAGCGCCCAGAGGTGCTGGCAGGCAGCGCGTCCGCCTGCTGCTGTCACTGGGTCAGCCGCTGCCGAGGCACTCCCGATGACTGACAGGCCGGGAGGACAGCGCCAGGAAGTGAATGTCACCCAACCCGTTTGAGGCCGGGAGGCTCTTGGCATCGCCCAGGGGGGTTGGCTGTCACGTGATCTGGAAGCTGCGAGGAGAGGAGCCCCCGGCTGAGGGGGAGCCGGGGATGGGAGCTCCGGACAGGCAGAAGCTCTCACAGGATGCTGAGATCCAAGACCTTGGACCCAGGCTCCTCAGAGATGGGTCTTCCCATCCCAGCAATAAGCTGGTCTGGTTCACAATCTTCTCTCTTCTCCTGGACTCATTTCAGCTGTCCTCCCCCTACCCCCACCATTCCCAGGGTGAAGGGGTCGGATCACCTCAGGAAGGCTATGATACCCCAGGTCATCCTTTATATCGATAATAAAAGGCTAATGTGCGAAGAGATGGAACGGTGAAACAATCGAACAACCAAACAACTGGTCGCTATGACGTGCGCTGACCACCAGGGGGCGTGCGTGGAACATGGCAGCTGTTGGCCTCAGTGGGATGGTGGAGCAGGTGAGTGGGGGCACCAGACCAAGGTGGGGCGCCGGTTGCTGTCATTGGGGTGAGCCTCTGGTAGTTATTGAAAATTCTCTGCTCCCGCACCCTATGATCCTGCCTGGCACTCGCACCTGCTGCCAGTGCCCGTTGCTGGTCCGAACACTCGGTGCCATCAGCGGGTGCAAGTGGTGGCTACGGACCCTAATCTCCTCTGAGGGCTTCCCTACCTCTCCCTGCTCCTGAGAAGCAATCGGGGCAGCAGCTGCCGCTCCCGCGCCTGGCGGCTCTGGCCCTGCTTGCACCTGCTGCTGGTGCTGGCCCCAATGCCGGCAGATAGGAGAGGGGCCAGATGGGGGCATGCAGGATGGGCCAAGACCTGCCCCTGTGCCTACTGCAGCCTCATGGCCCAAGTTTTTTTTCAAGGTGCACAAATTCATGCACTGGGCCCCTAGTATACAAATATGTGGGTGATGTGCCTATGTGTCATTGCCACTCATCAAACACTCGAAGAGACTCGGAGCTCCAAAGACCAGACACCACTGAGATAAAGAATGAGGCAGAGCTTTTTTTATTTATTTATATATATATATATATATATTATTGATTTTTTTTGCCCCCCTCCCTCCCTCACAAACATACTCTCCCTCCCCAGAGTTTTATTCCATTGGTTGTACTTATGCATGTATAATATACAAGTCCTTCGGTTGATCTACAATATTATCTCCCCCAGATCTCCCTCCCCTCCCCACTGTAAATTGATAGTCTGCTTGTTGCTTTACTGCCTCTATATCTATCTTTTGGTTCATCAGTTTATAATGTTCTTTATTATCCATAAATGAGTGAGGTCATGTGGTGTTTCTCTTTCATTGATTGGCTTATTTCACTCAGCATGATGCTCTCCAATTCCATCCAGGTTGCTGCAAATGATGAGAATTCCTTCTTTTTTATGGCAGCATAGTATTCCATTGTGTAGATGTACCATGGTTTTTGGATCCAATCATCTGCTGACGGGCACCTGGGCTGTTTCCAAATTCTGGCTATTGTAGATTGTGCTGCTATGAACATAGGGGTGCATATATCCTTTCTGATTGGTGTTTCTAGTTTCTTGGGATATATTCCTAGGAGTGGGATTACTGGGTCAAATGGGAGTTCCATTTTCAGTTTTTTGAGGAAACTCCACACTGTTCTCCACAGTGGTTGCACCAGTCTGCATTCCCACCAGCAGTGCACGAGGGTTCCTTTTTCTCCGCAACCTCGCCAACACATGTCGTTTGTTGATTTGTTGATGTTGGCTATTCTGACAGGTGTGAGATGATACCGCATTGTTGTTTTGATTTGCCTCTCTCGAGGCAGAGCTTTGCACAGTAGCGGTACCATAACCAATGAGGTTTACCCAAGGTGCAATTATTGCTAATTGAAAACTTTTCCCAATACTCCACCGTGTCAACTTGAAATACAGTCAGCACTGGCAATTTTTTAAAAAAATTATTTTATTGATATTTTTACACAGAGGAAGAGAGAGGGATAGAGAGTTAGAAACATCGATGAGAGAGAGTCATCAGTCAGCTGCCTCTTGCACGTCCCCTACTGGGGATGTGCCCGCAACCAAGGTACATGCCCGGAATCAAACGCGGGACCCTTCAGTCCACAGGCTGATGCTCTATCCGCTGAGCCAAACCGGTTTCGACAGCACTGGCAATTTTTGCTGGTCTCTACGGAGACTGGAAAAAAAAAAAAAAAGAGAATGAGGCAGAGGCCGACCAGTGGGCTCAGCGGTTGAGCATTCCAGTCAAGGTACATGCCTGGGTTGTGGGCTAGTCCCTAGTGTGGGGTATGCAGGAGGCAGCTGATCAATGATTCTCATCACTGATGTTTCTATCTCTTCCTCTCACTTCCTCTTTAAAATCAATAAAAATATATTTTACACACAAACAAACAAACCCAAAATTATTTTAAAAAAGAAAAAGAAAAAAAAGAATGAGGCTGAGTAACAGCAATGAATTAGAAGCGCACACCTGCCTGGGAAGAAGCCCCTGGTGTCTTGTGAAAAAGAAGTACGTTTCAGAACTGTCTGCATAATATGATTCTATTTATAGAAACGGTAATAACATGATCCTTTTTATAGAGAAAAATCTGGGAGAAGACACATTAACCTTGATATTAGCTATCTCTAAGAGGATGTTCTAATTTAAACATTCCTGTGACATTTGAATTTTCACCCTGAATGTGTCTTTCTTTCATGATCAGAATCAATCAATCAAGAATAAGGCAGGAGCGAAGCCAGGCAGGCTGGACACCATTTTGGGAGATTCTCTCCCAGTCCTCTGGGCAGCGAGGGCCAAGTCTTCAAGACATTGGTTTTCTGCCCTGCTCTTGTGGCTCAGTGGTTGAGCATCGACCTGTGAAGCAGGAGGTCATTGATTTTCCTATTAGGGCACATGTCAGGGTGGCGGGCTCCATGCCCAGTGTGGGACCTGTAGGAGGCAGCTGATCAATGATTCTCTTTCATCATTGATATTTCTCTCTCTCTCTCTCCCCCCCTCTGCCTCCCTGAAATCAATGAAATAAATTGATGTTGATTTTCTTAAAAAAAAAAAAAAAAAAAAAGAAAGAAAAAAGAAAAAAGAAAGGAAAAGAAGACTAAAAAGAAAAAAGGAGGCTCCTGGATCCAAGACACAGCCAAGTATGAGTGTGACCCCACAGGGTGACCCGGGATGGCCCCTCCCCCCCTGCCTCCCATGGCTGCCTGGAGGCTGGTGGAGGAGGACAGTGAGGGCGATGCACTCAGACACCCGCTCAGGACATGGAGATGGCTGGGTAACAACTGCTGTGACGGTCTCTCATGCTCTTTTCCCAGGAGCTGAATCGGAGGAGTCCCAGACCATGATCGATTTTGCAAACAGAAATGCAGGCTGCCCAGGAAAATGTGTATTTCAGGTAAACAACAAATAACTTTTAATTCAATGGAATATTTGGGACATATTCATACTAAAATATTATTCGTTGTTTTATCTAAAACTCAAATTTCAGCCCTAGCCGGTTTGGCTCAGTGGCTAGAGCATCGGCCTGGGAACTCAAGGGCCCCAGGTTCGATTCCGGTCAAGGGCATGTACCTCGGTTGCAGGCACATCCGCAGTAGGAGGTGTGCAGGAGGCAGCTGATCGATGTTTCTAACTCTCTATTCCTTTTCCTTCCTCTCTAAAAAATCAATAGAATATATTTAAAAAAATAAAAAAATACATATTAATTTCAGAGAGGGAGAGAGAGATAGAAACATCAATGGTGAGAGAGACTCATCAACCGGCTGCCTCTTGCATGCCCCACACTGGGAATCGAGCCCAGGTTGCAAGCGCTGACTGGGAATCAAACTGTGACTTCCTGGTTCACAGGTTGATGCTCAACCACTGAGCCGCGCTGGCCAGGGTCCATCTTTTAAGATCTTGAAAGAAGGGATCATAACTTATCCCTGTCGGCTCCAGCACAAGAACCTGGTCTCATTAGAGCTCAACAAATCAACGTTTGTTAATGAATAAATCCACCTGCTCACGCCTGGCTTACATGGGGAGCCTGGGGGAAGGGGTGGTGTGCAGTGGAAGGGGGGACACAACCACTCCACTGCCTATTCTAAATTCCTTTGGAATCTAACCCCAAATTCCCCCTTCAAAGTCATACTTGGCTGTGTCTTGGATCCAAAGTCATAATGGGTAACAGCCTTGCCTGAGCTGCTGTGCCCCAATGTCTGCGGAAAGCATGGTCCCGGGCAGGCTCTGCAGAAGGTGAGTCGGGGCGCGGAGGGGACTGGGGCTGGGGGAAGTGAGGGGTGTGGGAAGGACTCCGGGGCTTCTGACAGAGGAAGCCCCTCCTTCAAACTCAGTCTAGCAGTTTGTCTGGGTCATTTTTGCAATATCAAAGTACCGCATATACAGGTGCTTACTTGATTTTTCTTTTTAAAAGTTGAGGTGCAAACAAAAAGAATAAAAAAATAAAAATTAAAAAACAACAACAAAACAATGTTAAAATATGTACACAGATAATAATTTAATAAAAAAATCCTATATAACATTTAAAAAAATAAATTTTTTTAAAAAAGAAAGAAAAAAATAGATAAAAGCATGGCTCAGTGGTTGAGCATCGACCTGTGAACCAGGAGGTCACGGTTCAATTCTCAGTCAGGGCACATGCCCGGGTTGTGGGCTTGATCCCCGGAGTGGGGTTTGTAGGAAGCAGCCAGTCAATGAATCTCTCTCATCATTGATGTTTCTCTCTCTCTCTCTCTCTCTCTCTCTCTCTCTCTCTCTCTCTCTCTCATTCTTCCTTCCTCTCTGAAATCAAGAAAAAAATTTTTTAATTGAGCTGCATTTCTAACTTAACTATAGAATGGAGCAAAAATAGGTTTACAGTTGTGGGTACAGGAAGCACAGAATTTATTCTTGTATTATTATTTATTAATTATTGTGTTATTTTAAATAACAGACAACTGCTGTTATTTAGTCTTACCTCATTCTAAGCATCCATACCTGTCATACCACAGGTCTGACATTCTAACTATGTTTGTAATAAACAGCAAAATGAATACATGCTGCGACGTTAAAAAAGGTTTGCTTGTGCACCACCTGAGGTTGTTGGGGGACGGATGAAGGGTGCCGCCTGAGGAGCGGACCTCTGGAAGTTTGGGATCTCAGAGCCAGGACGAGGCCATTTCAGAATGTTCACGGCTGAGCCCAAGGCTGGGTTTAAAAGCCTGAGAGCATTCTGGATGGAAACCACAGCATGGGACCTATGAAAAGAATCCGAGAAAAGGAGACAAACGTTCCTGGCGGGGTAGCTCACCTGCTTGGAGCATCTTTTGATTCATCAGAAGTTTGTAGGTTCGATCCTCAGTCTGGGCAGTTCAGGAGTCAATCAATGTTTCTTTCTCAAATCAATAAAAATATATACACTGAATGGCCAGATTATTATGATTTCTGAACACATAACAATCTGGCCATTCAGTGTATATCCTATATAATAAAAGGCTAATATGCAAATTGTCCTCTTGACCAGGAGTTTGACCAGCAGGCAGGCGGGTCAACTGCCCATGTCTATATATATATATATATATATATATATATATATATAGAGAGAGAGAGAGAGAGAGAGAGAGAGAGAGAGAGAGAGAGAGAGAGAGAGAGAGGCCAGATTATTATGTTTTCCGAGGTCATAATAATCTGGCCACTCAGTGTATATGGTGAGGACTTAAAAGAAAAGGACTCAAACAGCTTGGACTTGAGGATGAAACTGGCGAGGACAGACAGTGACCCCAAGTTGCAGGCTCAGGGAGGAGGCGGGTGTGGCACCAGGCGAACAGGAAGGCTCTGAGTCACGCCCCAAGCCCTGGAGAGCCGGCGTGGGGCCCTGCAACTCACCCGGTCTGCGCGGCCGCCCCGGTTCCCTCTCGCTGTTGTAAAACACACACGCCTTTACAGTCGTCATCTCAGGTTCAGAGATGCTCTGAGAGGCAGGGGAAGGGAACCGGAAGCGAAAGAGCAGGGAGGCTTGTTCTCAGGGCGGAATGCGGGAGGGAAACCTTCCTCTCCGAGGGGTGGGGCCGCCCCCGCAGCAAGAGTTTGAAACAAGCCTTCGTGGATTTGCTGATCTTCATTCTTTTTGTTGGTTTGTTTTTTTTTCTTAATCCTCACCGGAGAATATTTTTCCATTGATTTTTAGAGAAGGTGGAAGAGAGGGAGAAATAGCGATGTGACCGCCGAAACCGGTTTGAGTCTTCCCTCTTCATCCCAGAACCAAAAGCCTCCTTGATAGCTGACAGTCCTCAGTGCTGAGACAGGTATTTCTGATGTTAAAAATAGCACTACTGCCGAAACGGGTTTGGCTCAGTGAAGAGGGTGTCAGTCTGCGGACTGAAAGGTCCCAGGTTCGATTCCGGTCAGGAGCATGTACATTGGTTGCGGGCACATCCCCAGTAGGGGGTGTGCAGGAGGCAGCTGGCCGATGTTTCTCTCTCATCAACATTTCTAGCTCTCTATCCCTCTCCCTTCCTCTCTGTGGAAAATCAATAAAATATATTTTTTAAAAAATAGCACCACTGTTGAAAAAAACATGGAAATTCATAAAAGCATACATGAAAAACAAAAACATAAGTTCTACACCACTTCCACAGATAACTATCATAAATATTTTGTTGTTCAACCTTCCAGACTCTCTCTATGATAAAATGTATGCTATATATGGTTATGTTAAAATAATTATATATTACATAATGCATAATTATAATATACAATTATTTTAAGGTAAGTGGGATCACATTGTATAAATACTTTTAGGACTTGATTTTTTCCCCGTTGTTATCTTGTGATTCCCAATAAACATTCTTTTACACCTCATTTTCAATGGAGGTAGTCAGTTATGACATAAATTTTATGTAATTAATTTATTGATTTGTATTTAAGTTGTTTCCAATTTCCCCTATTATAAAAATTCTGCAATAAGTGCTTA